TCTTTGAAATTCTTTAAAACAAGGCCAAATTTTATACTGCTTGTCAGGATCCCTAAAACTCACATGGAAACTAAATCTAAAATGAATGAAAATTCCTAATACTAAAGTAATTTACCGAACAGAAAATACACAAAGAAAAAAATAGTATATGGTGTATTAGAAAATGAGCCCAATATGTATATATTTTTCTCTTTGCAATGCTTCCTGTGAAATCATTCATTGATATGTTCTTATTTGAAGCATGATCTAATTGCACATGCTGATTTTGCAAAATAAAATGACAGTTTGGTATAAATAATAATTAGATAATGTTAGCTTATACTGATTCCCATTGTGCAGAATTTTCTGATTAAATATGACCAGCTGTTTTCCTACACTGTTATTATACTTTACCAGTTAATGGAAAGAGCAAGAAAAAAAAAAAAAAAAAAAAACACACAGCAACGCAGAAAGCATTTTAAAATTCCATGCCATTCTGCTTATTTTAAACCCTTAAACTCACTTGGGGGAAAAATGTCACTGAATAAATATATGTATGGTTTTCACCACGAGGAGACAGGCATGTTTAACCCCCTTCCTGTCCAGGCCATTTTTCAACACTGTCCTGGTTTAAAAGACAATCACTCAATCATGCAACACTGTACCCAAATTAATTTTATATACTTTTTTGACACAGGTAGAGCTTTCTTTCGGTGGTAATCACCACTAGATTTTTCATTTTTGCTATGTAAAAGCAAAAAAAGTTTTTCTTAGTTTGTTGTAAAACTTTGCAAGTAAATATTCCATCATAAATTTAGGCCAAAATATATTCTGCTACATTACTTTGCGGGAAACCCCCCAACTAAGTATACATTTTTTCATCTGTGTGAAAGTTTTTGAAGTCTACAAACTATTGTATACGAACATTTTCAGAAGGAGGTCCCAATGGTAGCTCCAGTATTTTTCTTAAAAAAAAGCTTTAGTTTAAAATATGTGTTCAAATGGAATACACTATACTATCCCTTGCTTTCACTTTCAGTTAAATCATGATGAATCAGAGATACAGGATGCATATATCCAGCTGACAATCCCAGAGCAGACAGTTTTCACGGAATTGTCATCTATCACGGTATCATGTGCACACACTTATACATCTATGCAACGATCTATTTCTTTTATGTGTTCCCATCCTTCATGTTCCATAACTACAGTGGGGATCAAAAGTTTGGGCACCCCAGCTAAAAATTTGTATTAATGTGCATAAAGTAGCCAAGGAAAGATGGAAAAATCTCCAAAAGGCATCAAATTACAGATTAGATATCCTTATAATATGTCAACAAAAGTTAGATTTTATTTCCATCATTTACACTTTCAAAATAACAGAAAACAAAAAAATGGCGTCTGCAAAAGTTTGGGCACCCTGCAGAATTTATAGCATGCACTGCCCCCTTTGCCAAGCTGATACCTGCCAGTGTCATGGATTGTTCTCAATCATCGTCTGGGAAGACCAGGTGATGTCAATCTCAAATGTTTTAAATGCCCAGACTCATCTGACCTTGCCCCAACAATCAGCACCATGGGTTCTTCTAAGCAGTTGTCTAGAAAACTGAAACTGAAAATAGTTGACGCTCACAAAGCTGGAGAAGGCTATAAGAAGATAGCAAAGTGTTTTCAGATGTCAATATCCTCTGTTCGGAATGTAATTAAGAAATGGCAGTCATCAGGAACAGTGGAAGTTAAAGCAAGATCTGGAAGACCAAGAAAAATATCAGACAGAACAGCTCGCAGGATTGTGAGAAAAACAATTCAAAACCCACGTTTGACTGCACGATCCCTCCAGAAAGATCTGGCAGACACTGGAGTTGTGGTACACTATTCCACTATAAAGAGATACTTGTACAAATATGGTCTTCATGGAAGAGTCATCAGAAGAAAACCTCTTCTACGTCCTCACACAAAAATCATCCTTTGAACATTGCAAATGAACATATAGACAAGCCTGATGCATTTTGGAAACAAGTTCTGTGGACCGATGAGGTTAAAATTGAACTTTTTGGCCGGAATGAGCAAAGGTACGTTTGGAGAAGAAGGGGCACAGAATTTAATGAAAAGAACCTCTGTCCAACTGTTAAGCATGGGGTTGGATCAATCATGCTTTGGGGTTGTGTTGCAGCCAGTGGCACAGGGAACATCTCACGAGTAGAAGGAAAAATGGATTCAATAAAATTTCAGCAAATTTTGGATGGTAACTTGATGCCATCTGTGAAAAAGCTGAAGTTAAAGAGAGGATGGCTTCTACAAATGGAGAATGATCCTAAACACACCTCGAAATCCACGGTGGATTACATCAAGAGGCGTAAACTGAAGGTTTTGCCATGGCCTTCACAATCTCCTGACCTCAACATAAGTGAAAATCTATGGATAGACCTTAAAAGAGCAGTGCGTGACAGACATCTCAAAGAACTGGAAGACTTTTGTAAGGAAGAATGGGCAAAGATACCTCAAACAAGAATTGAAAGACTCTTGGCTGGCTACAAAAAGCGTTTACAAGCTGTGATACTTGCCAAAGGGGGCAGTACAAGATATTAACTCTGCAGGGTGCCCAAACTTTTGCAGACGCCATTTTTTTGTTTTCTGTTATTTTGAAAGTGTAAATGATGGAAATAAAATCTAACTTTTGTTGACATATTATAAGAATGTCTAATCTGTAATCTGATGCCTTTTGGAGATTTTTCCATCTTTCCTTGGCTTCTTTATGCACATTAATACAAATTTTTAGCTGGGGTGCCCAAACGTTCGATCCCCACTGTATGTGGAAAAGGGGACCAGGCTGCAAACAAAATATGAAGAATAATTTGAAACGAAAGTTACTTTTACCAAGCCCAGGATCCTGCATTCACTATATCTGGTCTCCCACAGTATACACAATATGGAAATGCAATTATTTGAGTAAATATAAACGGCTAAATACCTTTTCTCATCAGCAGTTAAAGCAGTCTTGTGACTTCTACCAGTGTCTAGCAGAGCTCTGGTTAACGTTGTTGCAGGAGTTTTCATTCTCCCCTGATTGTCCTATGAGGCTGCATAAACCCTGAGTTTTTTTTGCGTTCCTCTGGATCAACTGTGGGTATAGGATTATAACTTTTTTTTTCTATGTTTGAAGTGGATGGACTTTTATCTTTTTTCAGCCAGACTAACTATGTAACTCTGACGCTCTGTCTGGAAAGTGCTGATTGGCCCTGTGCTGATCAAATGCACCCCCCCAACAAAAAAAGCTCTGTAGCAATACACACCAAACAGAGCATGTGCAGACTTATCACTGCTGCTCTGTACTATAGCAGATGAATTGGGGATAGTAAAATAAGGGGAGTATCAGAGAAGGCAGGATCAAACAGTCTTTTTTTTACTCAATGCGGAGGATTAACTCCTTAGGTTCCACAGTGAGCAATAACATGCATGCTTTATGGCATATACAGACTGATTTTACTGTTGTGAGTTTAGTAACACTTTAACATATTAAAGTATATCTAAAGCCATTTTGAAAATTTTGGGATAGAGCGAGGTTATATATGGCATCTGTGTTTCAAAGACGTCATCACACACAAGATCATTGGATGATGGCTGGGACCGAGATCAATATGCCTGTGAAGCCTTTGTGTCTCTTGTTATGAGATTGCATTTACAAGATATTAATAATCCTTTAGGCGCCATGCACAATGGGCTAAAAAAAAAAAACAAAAGTTCACTTGGCAGAAATAAAATGCTGTTATAGAGCGTTTTTGTACAGTTTAGGCGAGTTTAGCATTTTTTCTGCCACAGAAGGGCTTTTTTTTTCCTGCCTCTAAACGTTGAGCTTAAAATATGCTTCTAAACGCCCTAATGTTCATGGACACATATGATAACAACGAGCTGCTTCTACAGGCAAAGCACAAACTGCTGTAGTAGCAGCGATTTTTAATGCAGTGTGAATGGAGGCTTAGTATATACAGTTTTGCTGTAGGAGTGCTTGTCATTTTATTTTTGAGCAACTTTGCCGGTATATCTCATGTATGCCCCGGAAGAGGAAACTAATACGTTCAAGGGAGACCTTAACCTCCTTAGCGGTATTCCCAAGTGTAGCTCGGGGTAACATTTCAGTACCAAGAGCGGTAACCCCGAGCTACACTCGGGAATACCATGCGGCACTGCTCCGGCATTTGTTCTTCACTTACCTTACCCTGCGCTCCCACAATGTGTCCCCTGCAGCGTCCCCGGCCATCTCCTTCGGCGGATGCCGGCATCCGGCTTCTGTGTCCTGTCCCTGTGACGTCGGGACGTACGGGCGCCGCCGGCGGCGGGAAATTTAAAAATTTTAAAAAATGTCATTTTTTTTTTTTTTTACATTTTGCTGTTTTTTTTTTACATTGCTGTTTCAACCCATTTCACATACATTTTGTCCCTAGTGCTTTGTCCTGTGCCCTGCCTGCATTTTGTCTGTTCTTTCTGCCTGGAAACTGAGAAACGTCCATGGCGTCCAAAAAGTGTCCCTTTAGGTCAAAAGCGGTTTAGATCAGCTAGAGAACAGCGATAGTAAATCAGAACCACTTGCAGAATTGAGTGATAATGATTCGTTGGGAAATTCGTCATCAGACACTGAAAATGATTTTGCGACTGAGCTCAGCAATGTGCGAACTTATTATGGCGCTATATTTCAAATTTCAGTGTTTTTGGTTTGATTACATTATTGAATTAAATGTATTATTATTATATTATTATTTTTTATGATTATTTATTAAATTATAATTTATGATTTTGTGTTTCAAATTTTATCCTCCCCGGGATGTTTACTAGACTCTTGTTCGTACAGATTTCAGTGAGTTATTCCTAAATATTACAGCCTACAATAAAAAAACTACATATTTCCATGCAAAATAATGGTACCACTTTCAGCACCAAAAATCTGAAATAATCATACCGCCAGGGAGGTTAACCCACTGAGCGCGGTCTGACCATATGTGAGACCAGGGGCGGACTGACAACTCATGGGGCCCCCGGGCAATAGGGGATCATGGGGCCCCTGTGTCCTTGCCCAAACTCAAAAAAGCTTATGAAAAAGGTACCAGGGGCATCTCATGGGGCCCCCTGACCCCAGGCAGTGCCAGAGATTCCAAATGGTCAGTCCACCCCTGTGTGAGACAGAGGTAATTTTTTTCTGGTAAGGAGCTGCTTTTTTTCCTCTGGCTCAGGAACACTATCTGTATTTGGAGCAACAGCACACTGGGTTCTCTTCCAACACATGGTAATTTCTCAGTTTGAGAAGATCCTATTTTTGCCTTTATCACACTGTTTTGTGGACTTTTATCTATGTTTACTTATTGAATTTATTGGAACTTTTTTGGAGAACTTTTTCTTTATTTGACTTGTTTGCACATTATGTATTTTTTCCATTTATTTTTTATTATGGACTTGGTTTGACTTCTTTTCACTTTGATATATATTTGTATTTATTTTGATATTTTAGCGCTACAAAATATTTATATATCTGTGTTCAACTAGGAAGACTTCCTTTACTTAGGGGTTTATTTAATAAAACTGGTTCACTCAGAATCTTGTGCACTTTTGGATAAAGAACAATCAGCTTCCAGGCTTAATCTAAAGCTTAATTGAACAAGCTGAGGTTAGACGCTAATTGGCTACCATGATTCTGAGTGAACCAGCTTTAGTAAATAATCCCCTAAGTGTCCTGTTGTTCCCATTCGAAGAATGTAATTCTATCCCTATCCTGATGGCAACTCAAAATGCTGGTCACCAGGACAAATACAGAGAATGCTTCTCCCTAACTGGAACACAGGTGAAAAAAACCATAAAATTGATAGGGTTCTATACCCTGACCACTTCATCCAAAATGAAAGCAATGTTTTGGGTTTTATATTTTAAAATCAGCAGTAAAATAAAGGTTTATACCGAAAATAGTTATTTATATATCTCTGTTCAACTAGGAAGAATTCTCTTGTGTCTCGTTCCCATTCGAAGAATGTAATTCTATCCCTATCCTGATGGCAACTCAAAATGCTAGTCACCAGGACAAATCAAGAGAGTGCTTCTCCCTAACTGGAACACAGACTAAAAAAAACAAAACTGATAGGGTTCTATACCCTGACCACTTCATCCAAAATTAAAACAAGGTTTTGAGTTTTTATACTATAAAATCAGCAGTAAAATAAATGTTTATATCGAAAATAGTTATCTTTCAAGACAATTCGGATCTCAATATAAGGACATATACAAAATGGAATGCTCAGTGGAATGAGTAGAAAAAGGCAAGAGTGGTGACATATTTATTTTCACTTCAGCACAAACAGCAATAACCACATCCCACAGTTTGAAGTCAACAACCAAACAGCTGCTGAGATGGGTGAACAATCTTGAAAAGCAAATGCTGAAATCCTCCATATTTGTTCAAAGTTATAGCATGTAATCAAGTAAACACATTCCATAAAATTGATATATTTTTATAGGTTTTGCACTTTTCTTTTCTGTATTTGGAACTGCTGAGGCATGGTTTCCCTGCTCAGGGGAGCTTACAGTCTAGTTTTTTGGTGCCTGGGAGACAGATCACGAATCCTTAAAGGAATTCATACACACTGAATGAAGGTGATCATCAGAAATTGGCATCATAAAATATTTTTTATACATTTGCAAATATCTAAATGGGGTTCAAAGTTGTGTATATACTTGACCAACAGAACAGAATTTGCCTGGAGCTTCCAACCAACAGACCAATTCAGATTTCCAATTCAGAAATGTCCAACTATGATAGTAACCAGCTATTGTGTAAGAGTACCTTGAACTAAGATTTCTCTCAAACATCACACATTTATTGTTAGAATGCTGATGTATTTTACAGTCTACTAATGTTAAAACTGTAATACAAATTCATGACACAAATATACCATAAAATTAATTTGGAATGTAAAAAAAAACAAATGTTTGGCTTTGCTAAAGACAAAACGGGTTGTTCACTTTGTATGGGAATTTTCCCTTAGCTTAGTGAATGAGGTCATCGTCATCATCCAATCATTATTATAATACAGGATTTATATAGCGCCAACAGTTTGCTCAGCACTTTACAATATAACGGGAGACAATACAGCAACAATACAGTTCAATACAAGAGAGTTAGGAGGGCCCTGCTCCTTGGAGCTTACAATCTAAGAATCATGTACAAACACATCCTTACACATTATTTTGTAATGTTTGCAAAGTGAATTTTGACCACATTCACAAAGCTAAGGAAATATTCCATTGCAAAGTGAAAATTCACTTCCAAATTGAACAGCTCATATGCATTTAATAAATCAACACCAACATGTCCAAACACATGTTTAGGATCTTTTGTCTGGAGTTAATGGAAACAAAGGTTCATAATTCACTTAATCTGGTCCTGCCAGCATTGTTTGAAATACTTATATTTTAATGCAGTCCCAAGTTTTCAACTAAACTACAATTATATCCCCCTTACCACCTACAGTAACCTTTAAAGTGTACCTGTAGACAAAAACAGACTTTTTTTTTTTTTTGGATAGATGAGGGAAGGGTTAGCTGCCCAAGTTTTCACTGCTGTCTGTGTTCCCACTGGGAATATTCACCCCTCTATATGTACTGTAGTATTACAAAGAAACAAAGTAGGGGGAAATCTAAAATTTTAGCATTGTCTCCATAACAAAAGGTAAGGGTAAATCCTCCAATGGGTACACCTGTTTTGGGAAATGAGGAAAATGTATGCTTAAAGTGTTACTTAACCCAGGACCCTGCATTCACTATATCCGGTCTTCCACAGTATACAAAACATGGAAATGCAATTATTGTAGTAAGTATAAACTGCTAAATAACTTTTTTCATCAGTAGTATATAGCAGTCTTCTGACTTCTATCAGTGTCCGGCCTAGCACTGGTTAATCTTCCCTCCCAAAAAAACCTCTCTAGAAATGCACATAAAACAGAGCATGTGCAGACTTGCCACTGCTGCTCTATGTGATGGCAGATGGATTGGGGACAGTAAAAGAAGGGGAGGATCAGAGAAGACAGGATCAAACAGCCTTTTTACACAATATGGAGGATTAACCCCTTAGGTTCCAGAGTGAGTATAACAAGCATGCTTTACTGCATATACAGACGGATTTTATGGTTGTGGGTTTTAGTGACACTTTAACTTCTTGTTAAATATCTGGAACAGCAAGTGAAGGGAAATTTCTCCAATTGAACACAGATGGCAAAAAAAAGAAAACAGAACAGCCTGCTGTATCCCTTATCTACTCTATCCAAAACAAAACTGCATTAATTTACATTACACAGAAAGTTGGAGTAGGGGGGATAGTTAGAAGTCCGTTAAAGAACATTTCTGCTTTGAAATGCCTGTATAGGCATGTTACACACAATTTTGTTTATAGCTGGCCCCTCACTATACAATCTGATTCTACAAACTCCTTTAGATCTGCTAACAATTATGTAATACAAGGACCTGTGAGATTGGATAGAAATTGATTGTAAAGGTTTGTTCTCATATTACATAATTTTGGTAAATGACAGCCCTACGACAAACAAATGTTTCCACCATACATCTGAGTTACTTTGATTAACAGTAACTCTGTTTAAAATGTGATCTGACAAGAGATGACTATTCTGGAGTATTGCATGCCAACAAAACATTTACTTGTTGCTGCAGTACGTATTGTAAAGTGTAATCTGTGATCATTTTACACGGGAAGGGAAACATTCTCATTCATTTGTACAAACCAGGACAATAAAGTTCAATGTGCTAGAATTCTGTTGATTTTCTTCAGTCCCCGTTTATCAAATGTAGCTTACATGCCACCCATCTGACATAGGCTTGATCATAGCAAAGAATCACTATCAAAGTTTGCGTTTGACAACGCCAATAAGTTATATTTATCTTTTTCTGCATTTTAGAACTTTTTTCAAAATGTGTTTCCAGACAAGAGATTCCACATCTGCATAGCATTAAACTGCTATTAGTCTAAGAAGAGCATAACATATATCATCCAAATATATAACACACTATGTGCTGCTTAACCATTGATGGAAGAGACTTCCTCCAGACAATATCATATTGTAAACAGTTGAATTCAATCCAAATTATACTAGAAAAAAAATACACTTTGGATCTTTTGTTGTGAATGTCCAGCATTAACGCTTGAAGTACAAATGTAAAAGTGCAATAATAATAAACAAACTATTCTAGGTTTTAAATGCTAATAGTATAGTTGTAAAACTTCTCAGTGTCTTTGGGAAAGAGTAAATGGTACAGCTACCTTACATCCCTTTTTTATGGATATTGTGCTGGCTGTGATCCAGTTGTCTCAGTCCAGGTAAGCAAACATTCTGGGAACAATATAGGGACTGACACAATATACAGTATACACTTAAATTATGATTCCTGACAGATTTATGGAGATCGGTAAATGTCCATACACAAAATATCCAAACTCTTGATGGCTGCCAAGAATCCAGTACTCAGATGTGGGTAATGCTTCGAGAATTTGTGACCTAATTTCTTCCTGGAATTGTATATTTCTACTCCAGCTGTGAAAACTGTATTCCCTTAACCAGATTATGTTTTTTTTTTTCTTAAACTGGATATGAACATAAAAAAAAAGTTACTTTCATAAGGGTCTGGTAAAATTAAATTACAAGTTTATACAAAACTGCAGGGATGAGTAAATCAATTTATATGCTTCAAAACTCACAGTGAATCCAGCCGGTATGCTTTGAGTCGGGGTTTGCTGAAAATCAGCAATTCAGTTTTTTAGCCAATTGATTCATCCCATCACTTCCCTAATAGGGAAATCATATCGTTAATTATTTCTGCAATTAGGTCAATTAAGCAGGAATTATCAACCCATAACCCCTTTCAGCATTAAAAGTGGTATGCCTGAGGGTGATGAGTGGATTATTTTGCTGATGCCAACTAGCATTTGAATCTGGATGTTGGATTTTGAATGGTATCTAGCTGCTAACCATCCATATGTATAATTTTCTTTTTACGATATGTGATGTGGCGTTATGCCGTGGAAAATGTGCAATGAAAAAGGTCCTGTCATGGATCCAATACATCAGAAACCATAGTTACCTATACATAAACAAATTGTTTTACAAACTGAATTATTCTACTGCAGTCACATTGCAATTTGGCACA